AGCCTGTGGATGCGTTGCCAATTACACTACCTGGACCTTTGGGTAGTGTAATAATAACTCAGTTTTAAGGAAAAATTATCACTTGCTGTGCTTAGTTTCACTTACATTAAGTTTAATTACATTTTATTAAATAGTGGAATCAGATGATATATAACTAAAATTTTAAGTAAATTAAACATATCTTTAAAGAACACAGCATTGCAAAGACCTGTACCTTTTTTAAGAAAATAATAATATATCAACATCTCTAAACCCGATTTATTGGTTAAAAACCAAATAAAATGCCAAATTATCAGGCTATTGGATGAAAATAATAATCTATTAACTGTAAAAAGCCATCTTAATTCAAATAATTCAAGTTGTTAACTCAATAAATTTACTTCATGAAAAAATATTTTCCTCTAACCACATTTGATTCTTTTAATATTGTATTTTAAAATATTCAGTTTATAAATAGCAACATGTTTTTTGTTCTATGCCATTTCTTTATTTTTTTGTAATTAAAATATAACAAATGTAACAAATATGTAAATATTTGTTAAGAAATCAAAAATATTATAATTTGCAAATCTTAAATGTTAGGATTGCAGTTAACAAAATTTGATTATCATCAAATCCTGACTTTGTCCTTGTAATGTTTATATAGTATTTAATAATAATTCAGGAGTGAACAACTGTTTAAAATTTGTTATAAATTTTATGTATTTTCATAAAACTCAATATTTGGGTTGCATCAGATCATTTGGTCTCTGATACCATAAATGTTGTTTAGTTATAAGTGTCTAAATTTCATTTAAGTTACAAATATTTCTATAAAAGGAATGTGTTGCTTTGTTTGCTGTTGATGACTATAAAAAAGAAAATGATTAAAAAATAGTATTTTTTTAATCATTTTCTTTTTAATTCATTTTGTCTAATACTGCATTATACTACTTATTACTATTTTTACTTTACTGGCTGTTATACAGAGGAAAAGTATGGTGATCCAGCAAAAAATGATCCATCCAGATTTTTACATTTTTGGACTTTGGACACCTTGAAACATCGAGAAATGCAAAAAATTCAGGTGTAATTTTTGTATGTGTGTATAGGGCATGATTTTGTTCACCTTGTTGGAAGCTTAATAACACCTGTGCATTCTGTTGGAAATTTCTGAAATTTTGCAAGGTGGTTTGTTTATTAGGGGGATTCATGCTATTAAACTTTGGTGGTTAAATGTGAAGGAGGTGGGGAGATAATGGGGGTCGTATGTATCTCCAGTAGGGTCAGACCTAATGACACTTTTACATATTACTAGCATTTACAATTTTTTTTTACAAAAATCATCCCGATTCTCAAAATTTAGCCTTTTTCCATTTTATAATAGTTAAATATATAAAAAGTTTTTTAATAAAATATGATAACAGATGATGCCACCAAAATTTTAAATGTTAGTTTATTAGTTTATTTGTAACAATTTTTTGACATTATTTGAAATACTTTTAAAACAGTAAAATCTGTATTTAACAGAAATGCTCAGGAGAGAGAAATTTTTGTTATAGAGAGATTTCAATTTAATAGACGTTGCACTTCCACAATATTTTCTTACGTCAATGTGTAAGGTTTCCAGAAAGGTGAAAGCTGAAGCAAAATGAGAAAGTCCAAAAGGTTGAAGCTTCCTTTGACAATTCTCTCCTTTTACATATTCATCCCTGGTTTTTAGAATGATGATCATTTTATTCTACTTGTGGAAACTTTCCATAACAAGAATGTTCCTATTCTCTTTAGGTAAAAGGTGTTGAATAGTCAAATTGCTTCTGATTCATTGTATGAGTGTCAATGAGTTTACCCCTCTATTATCTGTCATGTCTTTCCCCACACCATTACCCAAATAAAAACAACATTAAAGGCAACACATCCACATTTATATGATATGAAGAAAGCTTGTTTTATAGAAAAATAGACAAAAAATGTATGAAAGCTTTTTTGTTTCTATGTAAGAATAATTTCATTAATACAACATTTTTAACATGAACAGCCCTATATTTCTTGAAAGTTTTCTATACAGTATTTTATATTTTATATAAAGGATTTTTAAAATTTGTTAGAAAATCATAATTTTTCTTTAAGTATAGTGTTATATGTTAGTGGTTCCAAAACTGTGTTCCATGGATATGGTTTCACATAACTGATGTATGGGGGTGTGTAGGCTCATTTTCTAAAAATGGTTTTATTTTATTATTTTGCAACTATTTTAAAATGTTATTTGATAGTATATTAAGGTTAAAATGAAATGTTAACTTTATAACTAATAATTAGTAGCAGTTTTATCAATGGATATCAAAAGAAATATGACATTATATGCATTTATATAAAAGAAATTTATAGACATTTTCATGTAATTATTGAGTTATTTCATTTAAAACTAGTTATTATAATGAATGTATATATAGAAACTTTTATATTTGACTGATAAAGAAAAAATTTATAATAATAGACTTTTGTGGAAAGGATTATAGTTTTATTTCATTTTATGTAGTTTGTGATGATAAACTTCTTAATTTTTTTATTAGTTGATGGTATTTTACCATTTTTTTTAATCAACTTATGAATGTACTTTTTCTTAAGAAATCTGTTAATTTACAAGATGTTTCAATGGGTCAACTTATATCTTCAATAACTATTTGTTAGTAAAAGTAAAACATATTACATTATCATTATGAGTAGGCAAAAGGAAATCAGCAAACATGTGTACTGTGTAACACTTGAGTTTGTATTTTGAAAAAGCAATATTAAGATGAAAATAAATTTCAGTGATATAATTTTAGAGAAATAAAATTATTTATCATTCTAGTACAGAGGAAAACAATTCAGTGATAGAGAAATTAGTTAATTAATTAATTAATTAAGGAAAACTTGCAGTGCAGCTATTCTTGAGCTTGCAGAGAATATCAGCGTAAGTGTTGAGTTTATTTCCCATATTCTTCATGAAGAATTGAAGGACTAGAAAGTGTGTACACAAGAGATTTGGAAGCACTTGACAACACAAAAGCCTTGTGTATAGAAATCTCACATATTACGAGCTGGAACAGATTTCTTGACACAAACTGTTGCTAGTGATTAAACTTGGTGTCACCATTTTAATCCAGCAGCTAAGCAGATGAATAGGGAATGATGATATCAATCTTCATCTTCACTGCAAAGACATGTTCATCTGCAACATTGGCAAAGTCATGCCAGTTGTCTTTTTGTTGAGAAAGAACCCTTTGCTGCTGGAATGGCTTTAACATGGTGACATGATGAATGCCATACGATATAGTGAAACCTTAATTAAAAGCTCTCCACAATGCCATCAAAAGCAAATGAGTGAGAAACTTGTATAATGGCATTGTTCTTTATGATAATGTCAGACCTCATACAATATAAATAATGACAAATATCCTGCAGTGTTTCTGCTGGGAGGTCTTGAACACCTCCATACAATCTAAACCTCTCTCTGTGATTATTTCATCTTTGAGCCACTGAAAAAAAGCATTAAAGGGATGTTATTTCACCTATGATCAAGAGGTACATAATATGATGGAAGATTGGTTTTGACTACAACCAGTAAGCTTCTTTGCAGATAGTATATGGAAAACTAGATCATTGGGACTATAGCCTAAACAGCAGAGGTGACTATGTTTAGACATTACTGGTTAGATACCAGATTGAATGTATTTTGTAAGCACATTGGTAATTAAATAATAGTATATTTTGTTATATGTATTGTATCTCAGTCTGTTTCATTTGAATGACCCGTATACATAAGTTACATAGAATCATCTTAAATTCATACTTTACTCCCAACTAAAAGTCAAAATAGCTAAGTAAACACAACAATACTGATTTCATTGTCTGTTTAAAACTAATTTTGGTTTTTGCTAGAATTGCAATTTATTGAAAACTGGTTTTGTTGCTGGTATTAATCCTGATGGTATGAATTTTTCTTTTTAATTTAATTGAAATTTAATTTGAGGGGTTTATTAATTAATTTAAACTTTTTGAAGCCATTTACAATNAACAAGCTTTGGCTATGTCTTGGGCTACTCAAATATTTTACGTTTTTGATACTAAATTAACTTCTGAAGTATAATTTTTTGTTTTTATATTTTTCAATATATTTATTTTGTTCGTACAAAATAAAAAAATAATTTTTAACAATACAATAGTCTTCGTTAGGCTTAACATCGACGAAAATTCAATGCGAAGCAACACGCAATGGAGAAAAATGTCAAGATGGGATAAATTAATATATTTTTTGTACATAATCGGTTATCTGAAACATCGATCTTCCGAACAACCCCAGTCTCCAATTGATTCGGATAATCGACGCTCCACTGTAAATCTATTTATTACCTTATAGGGGCAAACCTTACAGCATAAGCAGTGGCAACTGTCCAAGTTTTGTAATGCATTAATCACAATCCTTCAATATGTGCATCCAAGGTCACATGACACACATCTACACAGTAATGAAATATCCCATATGCAGTGTAGCATGTCCTTTGTGATAGCCTGCAGTGCATGCTTTATCTGATCACACAATTCCTCAAGGGACAAGGGCATTGACAGTACATAAAGTCGGTCTTTAACAAACCCTCACAAAAAGAAATTGTAGGATGTTAAATCTGACAAATGGGGTGGCCAGGGGAGCAGGTTGTTGTCTGCTGTTGCACCATGTCCAATCCAGCGTTGGTGAAGAACATGATTAAGCATGACAAGAGAAGAATGGGTAGCGCATAAAAAACTTGGACAGTTGCCGCTGCTTATGCTGTAAGGTTTGCCCACATATGAGGTAATAAATAGATTTATTATTAATTTTTAAAACAGCACCATTCATATATAAACATCCTGTATAACACTAAAATCTCTATTTTTTGTAATTTATAACAATTAAACTAATAAAACAATATTAGCTTTATCCATTATTTAGTTATTTAATGTATATATTAAAAAATTTTAATAAAACAATCAATAATAAGACAAAATAAAGCATTATAATTTAAAATAGTGCAAGTGAATAAAAATAAATGCTTTTAAAATAGTCAGATACCATTTAAAATTGAAACTATTTGGATGTTAGTTTATAGGCATCAAGAGTTAAACTTTGACATCTTGTTGCATGAAATATTACACACTTTTAAAATGTAAGATTTTTCTGATAATATAATCAATGTTTCCTTTCAGTCTGTGTCATTTTGTTTATTGCTAAGATGTCTGCTTTTATTCAAGCATTGTGAGTCTGAGTGAATATAAGATATATATATAATAAACACTTTCTCACTTTCATATATAATTTAATTTCATGATCCATATTTTATTACATACTGTAATTTAAGGATAATAGTTCTAAGTCTTATTTTTTCAATTTCTTAATTACAGATTATGATAGTTCAACTTCCTCCAAAGATTTAACAACTATAAAACAGAAAAAAATCCATAAATTGCAGAAAACAGTAAAAAGTCTCAGACAGAAAGTAAAACAGATAAGTGCAAAATTACAAAGTTTAGAAAGGAGTCTAAATATTCTTCAACAAGACCAAGTTGGAGGTACGGCACTACCTTTAAAAACTCTAAATCTAACTGATATGATTGGATTTGAAAATAATCATAGGGATCAATTTAGACAACAATGGAATAGTTCCTATATTGCAAACACTAGCAGATTTGGGATGATGCCATGTTTAGGTAAGAATGAAAAATAAATAAATAGTTTCTTTTAACCACATTTAAGATCACTTAACACAAGTGACAAAATTATGATGACTAACATCAAAACAAGACAAACTAATCATCTTTGTCACTAGTCATGATTGAAAGTAGTGTTACCACCCGTCCGGTTTTCACCCGGATAGTCCGGGAATTGACTCACTGTCTGGGTGAACTATTAATTTTATCTGGGAATTTTGTAGAAATTGAGAAATTACGATGAAACAAAGTTCTTGCAAATATTTTTACAAATTTATACTATTTTAACAGCAAAAGAACTCACACTCACTGAAACTCCTCTGCAATTCTGCCATGTTAGTCTGTTTACACTGATGTGTTGTAAAGGGTGCTGATGAATACATTAATAATTTAATTAAAGGTAGATAGTTAAGTTGTCATTTTGTATTAAACAAATGTCTAAAATGAGAAAAGTATCAGGTCAGNGCCCACATGGAGGCAATATTGCCCCCATGTGGCACTGTATTAGAAGATACAAAAGACAATCTCAAAGTTATGGCAATGAATTGCTATGATGACAAAAAGACTGTTTTTGAACAAAATGAATATGATATTAGAATTATTACTTATTCACAAATAATAAACATAAAGTATTTCCAATGTCAAAAATAATTGTAATGGAGATAGGATTAAATACCAATTATCTACATTAATTGATGCTGATGGTTAAATGTTAACAATTGATAACCCAGTAATATGTCAACTTGTAGTAATTTTTGTTTTAGGCTGTGTCAACTAATAGTGCAAGGACATTGGTTCAAGAATTAAAATGTTTTTCTTTTTTAAATACTATTTATTTTTTCAAAAATAATTTTAACTTAACTATAGAAAATTTGTGTAGTGATTATGCTTGAAATTATTTTTGTTGCAGAATAAATATTTAAATTATTAGTAGTGTGAACGTATGAAATGATTACTGGTAGCTGATGAGGGTGAATGTACCAAACGAGGCACCACTTACATCCGTTGGTGGGAAAAATTATTTATTTTCATGTAGAGGTTACAGGTTCTGATGGGTTCCAACTCTAAAACAGTAATAGGTAGTCATCAAAAAGTCCAAAATGTCACTGGGACAATGGCACAATATCACAAAGTGTACAAAGGAAATGAGTTTGTGTATTACAATAAAACCTTCCTTATGACTAATCCTTAAAGCTAATTTATGCTAATAGAAAAAAAAATACCAGAGTGTATAGGTAAGAAATAGTAAGATGGTTGATAAAAAACTAGTAGAATGCTTGGGATATACAAATGTTATTCAACTTCCATGAGGACCACACGGAACTTCCTTGGATTCGCTTTAATCTTCTGTTTCTACTCTTCTTTTTTATTCCACTTTTCTTTCTCAGATTCACTAGGCTGTCATTCCAGTAAGTTCATAAAATTCTCTTACTTCAGTTCAGTTTCACTTGTCTCTCAGATATTTCACAACACTCAGCACTACCATAACATTAAAAGTGCTCAGCAAGTAATAGTAAACACAGAAAATAACACACCTTAATTTGTTGCTGAGATGTTTAAATGCGAGAGATGCTGAGAGCCTGTCGTCAGCATGGAAGTACATGATTAAAAAGCTCACTAAAGACTCAGGCTAGAATTAGTTTATTGAAAGATTTATTATATTTTTTATTTTATTTTGTGTTAAGTTTATATATTCTTCCGTTTCTCTTGTATATTTTTAAAAATTTTTGTTTGAAGTTTTGATTTGAATATTTGTATTCTATACATAGAACGTATCTGTTCTATTTTCATTTTTTGGACCTGATGATGGCCTGTTAATCAGGCTGAAAACGTTAGTTTTTCAATTATTTTTCTCAGCAACAAATTAAGGTGTGTTATTTTCTGTGTTTACTATTACTTGCTGAGCACTTTTAATGTTAAGGTAGTGCTGAGTGTTGTGAAATATCTGAGAGACAAGTGAAACTGAACTGAAGTAAGAGAATTTTATGAACTTACTGGAATGACAGCCTAGTGAATCTGAGAAAGAAAAGTGGAATAAAAAAGAAGAGTAGAAACAGAAGATTAAAGCGAATCCAAGGAAGTTCCATGTGGTCCTCATGGAAGTTGAATAACATTTGTATATCCCAAGCATTCTACTAGTTTTTTATCAACCATCTTACTATTTCTTACCTATACACTCTGGTATTTTTTTTTCTATTAGCATAAATTAGCTTTAAGGATTAGTCATAAGGAAGGTTTTATTGTAATACACAAACTCATTTCCTTTGTACACTTTGTGATATTGTGCCATTGTCCCAGTGACATTTTGGACTTTTTGATGACTACCTATTACTGTTTTAGAGTTGGAACCCATCAGAACCTGTAACCTCTACATGAAAATAAATAATTTTTCCCACCAACGGATGTAAGTGGTGCCTCGTTTGGTACATTCACCCTCATCAGCTACCAGTAATCATTTCATACGTTCACACTACTAATAATTTAAATATTTATTCTGCAAAAAAAATAATTTCAAGC